CCATCCTTCTTTGAGGAGGGTCTAGGCTTCTCCCAGGAAGATATCAATAGAAAGCGGGGCGGCTTATTTACCGTACTCCACCATGCTGTCTCACAGAAATACTTGGTGTCCGGTGTCTTCAAACCTCGGTTTCTTCGCGTTCGTTCTTTGACTGGTGCTGTCCCCAACTGCATGGTTGTGCTGGTACACACCGTCCTTCACGCGAAAGGCAGCGTAGGCGGTCAACTTTGTACGAACTGCACCCCAATTCGAACATTGACAAACGCATTCCTCGGCCGAAAGTGCTTGGTTCGCAAATCGCTGCTCCGTCATTTGCCTGGCCATCCATGTGTGCAGATGTATGTGCGTTGGTAAGCCCCCCCACGTCTCTCGTACGTAACGGAACATCCATTACATGCTATCTCCCGCTGTTTGACCCCAGCCGCTTGTTTCTCAATACGCAATTAAGCGTTGACTGGATGCGGGATGACCTGGCGGGGCCTTTACCGAGTAAGTCTTCAAATACTTGTAACACTTTGTATAGATCGGATACGTCACGTCTGCGGGGTCCTTGTCAAGCGAGGGAGAGTCTACGACCTGGACGATACATGGACGCTTGAAATCGTCCGTGTCAGACGGGGCGCCGTCCGAATTTGCAGCCGCGCCAGAGGCTGAGAAGCCGTCGTGTCGATATCTGAAGAGGAGTCGCACGATCCACCCTGTATTTACAAATAGATAACGCACGGTTAGAAACACGTTCACAGAGACCACAAACAGCAAGATAACGCATCTCAGACGTCGCGGAAAGCGGTTAGACTGAGCGACATGGCCGACGATTGCAGCAACGGTTGATTTCGTGACGTAGGCTGCGGCGTGCAGGTAACGGAGCGGCGGCGGCGGCAATGCTCGAAGGGGGGCGAGTTTGGGTTTGAAAAGCAAATGAAAGGCTAAAGTGATTGGTACAACTACCGGTATACAGTATTGTACCGGTATTAACTACATAGATCACATCGTGGACAATACACGGATGAGAGTTGGACAATAATTGCACTCAACGACTGGGTTGTTTTTATAAATTACCGAATGAGAATATTTTACATCATGGACATTACATGGAGTATTACATGGAAAATAAGCGGATTTGACGCATGGACTGTAGCATTTCCGAATTTTTAACCGTGGATCGAAATGAGCTATATGAAAATAACAATATTGAGCTTAATGACTTCCTTACAAATCAAAGAAAACCACGATATCTTCTACAGTAGAGATTGCAACACTAATTTAACAAAATTTGGAAAGTTGCGCTGAATAACGGTAAAATCACTTATTGCGTTAAGGAGATTGCCATGAATGAAATCAACCAAATAATAATTCATATGTTGTAGCTCTTAACCCTCATATTATTCCTGCTAGAATTAATGCTGAATCATTTGAATTTAACATAATGGCATTGCAGAAAATATCAAGTTATCTAAGAAATTTAGTTGAAGCTAGAGATAGCATTCTATATAAACGTGTAATTCTAACTCCGTTTGGCGTTACGGAAAGCAATAGAGAAGAGGCTAGAAATAATCTAAATCTGTTCCCATGATTTATGCATAAGTATGTTAAAGATTTTATTCTTAACATGGGCGTTCTTGATATATGACGCGAATATATAGAAAGCGATTTATGCAACAGCAATGAGCAGATTTACAAGTATCTGTTGAAACATTTTACTAATCTATTGCTCAACGCAAGCAAGAAATCTGGAGCTCTGATTATCATTAAGCGACTACAATGAGCTGATAAGAACAGCACATTCGATATCTTCAATCGATTTGTCGTTTTTTTATGATATGAGTAGTATTGATGTCACTTAGTCTAAACTAACGACTTCCTATACCCCTGGCAACGCCACCGCTCTAATGTCAGTGTGCGCTGTAATGCATGCGACCTGCCCAGTGTCTGACCCTATCGCACTGTCTCCCCTATATAGGGGTCGCTATGTTGCCGCTTCGCGGCTGCGTATGTGACGTATCCTGCCAGTGCATGACGTCATCAGATAGGTGCTTAAGCACTTTTCGCCCAGCGTACTGTTGCCGTTGTGTCCTCAGACAGAAGGCCCTGCGTGCTACTTGTATTATCCATCGCCATGTTGGCAAATGTATCAACCATCTTGCTAAACTCCCTCAGATGATGGTGCCACGCCACCACGTCAAGTCTGTCGGCGAGTTTCCTGCTCTGCCAATAGTAGTTTTGAAGGTGTTTGGTTTTAAGAGGCTTTCTTTGTTTGAGTTGTCTAATGATCATTGCGCTGCCTCCGATAACGTGTAACGGCTCAAAGGTGTGCTTATCACAGGCCTTGAGGCCGCAGAATAAGCCGAGGTGTTCTCCCATGCTGTTGGTGAAGCGCGGATTGGCGTACGACATCGTGCCGATCCAGCAGACCTGGGCACGGACTGTGGCGTCTGCTGTACGGATAACTACTGCGCTGCCTCCGGGCCCCGGATTGCCACGGGACCCCCCCCTCCCCCCCGGTTGAAGAATAGCAGGTACTTCGTCGCTCCCCTGTCTGTGAATTGGAGATAATCTACCACCGACTCCGACGTCAGCACGCGTCGCATGAGCTGGATCGCAAGGGGACCAAACGTGGGGTGAAGCTGTGCCGCTGTGTGTGTAAAAACCGTGGAGTACCCCTGCCAGAGCGCCCATTTGAAGGCCGCGGCTTGACTTTGCTCTGACACTTTTGCCAAAGAATCAAAGTGGTTGACTCGCCATCTCCATCCCCGTTGCAGCAGTATTGCTGCCCCTAGTCTCCAACAACGCTCGGCTAGCATCGTGACTGCCTCCATAAAATGATTGGACAGCGTGATATGGTGGTCGTACATTTTATCCGCTGCTCGCCAGACCCCTGCTGGCATCAACAGCAGCTTCATGCTGAAGATCGCGTGTTCGATTGCCGAGCTCTTGATTCCTAGCGTAAGCCACGTCCGTGTCATTAGCTGTCGTAATGTCCTCGCCGCCGGACAATCCCAGAATACGTGATACAAGTCAGTGTCGGCCAAATGGACACAGCCATCATGGGGGCACCCGATCTTCTGATGGGCGGCATCATAGTGCAAGAGGGTGTACCATTTAAGTTTTAGCAGTAGCTGCTCCCCCCACGGCCCCAGCCCCACTACTCGACGAATTTGCTTCTATTTCAGGTCACACAATGCTGCTGCAGCAGTAGGGCTTGCTGCGGTCCATTTGGTTATGCGTAAGGCAGCCTTCGTGGCTCCGCTTTGATGTGCAAAGTGTCTTATACACTGTTTGAACTCGAGTCTCGTGCGTGTCCATCTTCGGCCTCCAGCCCGCAGACATGTGAGGCGACTCAACCTTGGATGTGGCCGCACTTGGTGGAGTATGCTGGACGATTGCAGTTCCTTGGTAATTAATCTGCAAAGTGTTGGTTGGCTGTCCACAACATGACCCCGGGAAGGGCCTTGAGTATCCAGTTGCAGCAATGCCTCAATCCGCTCAGTTTCCCGCAGCGTTACGGTGATTGGATGCTCAGGTGGAGAGGCCGATAACCTCGCCTCATGTTCGTATACTGTAGATAAGGCCATTGTTGGGGAATTGGTTCCTAGTATCTGCGCGACTCGTTCCGCAGAATCGATTTGTCATTGGTGATAGCCTAGCTAAAACGGTTTGTAATATGGACCAGATCACTGGCCGATTTAATGGTATGCGTCAGTCTCTGCTCATGACGGTACTTGATGAAGCCGTAGATAGCAAAAACAAAGCAGCAATGAATATGTTCGGAAGCTTGATTTTTTCAGACACAGTTACTATTAAACATAAAGGTAAAGAGGCTTTTCAAAGATTACAACAATTACATTTTTCGAAGTAAAAACAATTTCTCAAGCTTCATTGAAGAGTCAGATAGACGCGCTTTATGCTTGGAAACTAATTATTATTTAGTTGGTGACCATACTTATTATAACCATTACTTTGAGGTTATAGCTAATGTTGATGCTGCTGGCAAGCATATCTTTCATTATTTGATCCATAATGTCGAAGTTGAATCTGGTTGGAATGCTCAGCAAACGCCAAAACGAATACAAGCAAGAGTTGAAGCAGTTGCAAGCTTGTCGTGTGATTAAGTTCTATTTGAATGAGCTTGGTCGTCTCAGAGGGATCGTCTGATGTCAAGGACGTCCGTAAGACTCCGACAGGGCTCTACAAATGCTATAAACAGTTTTGTGAGAATAACAGCTATAAGGCGCTCGGCTCTATGGCATTCACTTAGACCAGCTAACCACATTCTGGAGATTCGAAAAGCCATGGCGTTAGATGTAAGATATATTCACACGATTCTCTGTTGAACTCGCTAAGTGCGTATCTGTAAATAACGTCTGTATCCTAGTTTTTTCTACTAGAGATGCTCTTAAGTAAAACATATGTCATGACAAAGTGGATTGCCCCCTGAGGTCAAGTCGGGAGTCAATACATCCTGCGATATCAAATGAAGATGAACATACTAGATATAGATAAACCTACCCTATCTTCAAACCTTCAAATTCGCAGCAAATTGGAAAAAAATGCCCCCCCCCCCTTGGCCCTATTTACTACAACAACTAAAAAAATTCTTTAAGCACTCATACAGAAATAAAATAGAATAAAGGGGTCAAGTATGGGGGCATATTGGTGGCAAGTAGGGTCAAAAGCGCACTTCTTCACTATGTATTGTTGTAGTTAGTCTGGTGGTTGGTGGATAGATAGTTCCAGCAAGTAATGCATATATATAAGAGATTATGTAGGGTTGCATATGTGCAACTTATCCGCATCAATGTTTTTGCGCTCTACTTCAGCTTTTATATGTTGTAGTCCTAGATTTGTAAAATTTGAGATTGACACGTGTCTGAGTAGCTCAGATACATTTCTGAGCTCGGATCCCTCTAGATATCCTAAAATTGTAGATTATGAGTGAAATTTTTAAATTACCTGCTGCAGGACGCGTCCGCCAGTATACCCGCTGCAGGATATCCTGCAGCTGGTGATTCCCGCCAAACTATCCTAAAATGTAGAATTTCAACAAAATTTGAGATCAGTATACTGCTGGACCGGTGACTCCATCAAACTATCCTAAAACTGTAGAATTTGAACAAAAATTGCCCATCTCAACTAATGAATTGCATAATGAATTGCGAAATGAATTGCAAGAATAATTTCGCACAAAGAAGGAAAACACCTTACAAGGAACACGATGCTGAAGCTGTTCTGCGCGGTGATGGAGCTCGGTGG